TAATATTTAAATATAAAAATATGGTCTTCCAAAGTATAAACAACTTTTTTGTATAAAAAATAATTAAAAAAAATTAAGTGTTTACTTTTGCGGCTGGTATCGTATTATACAGAATAATATTGATTTAATTTCACAATTTTACACTTTTTTGGTAAGAAAACTTTACAATAACAAGGATTTCTTCCTTACGATTGATTTTTTAAGGTATTGGTCATTTATAATAACGGGGAAGTACAATTTAGCTTTTTGAGAATATATTATAAAAAGTTATTTAAAAAAAAAGAGTTAAAAAAAAGACCCAGCTAGCACACTTACAATGGGCCAACATATGTAAAACCATCGTGAACGTTGGTTTTTCTTTTCTAATGCAAAACCAACGTTGATCCAATGTCATTGAGTTAATGATAAAATTATTACCGACGGAACTAAAAACATCTGGCAAACTTACATTGGTCCAATGTATGTAAATATATCGCAAAAATTGATTGTTTTTATGAACTAAACCCAACGCTGATCCAATGTATGCAACCAAACATTGCTATTGACTTAAATAAAATCTTCCTTGATTATTAAAATATCAAACCACGATCAACAAAAACATGATTTTTTGTCCGATGATTAAGCGTTATCCAATATCCGATAATTAGGCGTTATCCAGTATCCGATGCGATTCGTTATCCGATGCGATGCGTTATCCAATATCCGATCCAATACGCGATTTTGTCCGATGATTAAGCATTATCCAATATCCGGTGATTAAGCGTTATCCATATATATATATATATATATATATATATATATATATATATATATATATATATATATATATATATATATATATATATATATATATATATATATATATATATATATATATATATATATATATATATTTAAACAATTTAAAATGTATTCTACAAAAAGAGTGTTTAATGTTCTTAAAAGAAATGCATTTTTGATGAGTCTTTATTGATGAAACACAGTGTTAAATGAGAAAAAATTTTGCTAAGTGATTTTCTACTAATTTATATATATATATATATATATATATATATATATATATATATATATATATATATATATATATATATATATATATATATATTTAAACAATTTAAAATGTATTCTACAAAAAGAGTGTTTAATGTTCTTAAAAGAAATGCATTTTTGATGAGTCTTTATTGATGAAACACAGTGTTAAATGAGAAAAAATTTTGCTAAGTGATTTTCTACTAATTTATATATATATATATATATATATATATATATATATATATATATATATATATATATATATATATACAATGAAAATTTATTTCCGAATAATATTGAATACAAAGTTTTGCCAATATAAGTTCCACGTTGATTCAACATAAATACAACGTTGTGTCAACATAAAATACAACGTTGGCCCAACGTATAAAATAAAACGTTGAATCAACGTAGAAAATATAACCATTTTCCGACTTTAAATAAACGTTTTTCGTCGCATTTGTAACCATAATGATATAAAAACAACGTTGGCAGCCGATGTTGGGCCAACGAAACGCGCGACATTGTTTTAATGTTTTAACAACGCATGTGTGCTAGCTGGGAAGTACACCATAAAAACTGCAGTTGTCATGACATCTGAGCTTTAGAGCAGCTAAAAAGCCTCAAAGAACGAAATTTACAATTCTAGAATTGAATTTGCAAATGCTCACAAACACTAAACTATTAATGATTATAAAAAAGTGGAGCAATTAATCAAATTACAATTTGAAAGGTTGCTTGATTGTAACTTGAAGTTGCGTAGGTATAGAGGTAAACGTTCGGATCCTAAGAGAAACTGTCTAGCGTGGACGGTGGAAAAGTTGCAACAGTTTAAGATTTTTTTTCTGGTTTTGGTTGAGTTGGGTCTATCAATTTAATAAATAGCATTATAGATCATTATAGATCAGTTCCTCATGCTGATTGCAATTTGCCTCTTCTATGGACGTTTCAACAAGACTACGACTTTAAACATACGTCAAAACTCGTAAAAATATGATTTGCAACATTTCAAATCAAAGTAACATAGTTCTAACCTCAACCACCTGATCTCAAACCGATTGAAAATTAATGGCGTCAAGTTAAACTTTCTTTAAAAAACAAGGAACCCTTCAAAAATGCCAATGAACTATATAATGCTGAAGTCGCGTAAAATAAGATTACGCAAGAAAAGAAAAAAATAAACTCATTGAGTCTTTACTAAAAAGATATACCATGATCCTGAAAAGTAAAGGATTTGCCATTAATTGTTAATTTTAATTTTTTTTTTTTTAGTAGGTGCTGATGTTTTGTAATATAATACACTTCAAAACTGCAGATTACAGTTTCTTAAGTATTAAAAAAAATATCTCATTTCAATGTTTTTGTTAGGTTTGCTAAAACATTACACCAGTTTAGCAAAGGGAAACAAATTTATACCGTTTTAAGCAATCTTTTTTGAAAGTTTGCCTTAACGTTTTTATTTACTCAAACCACTTAAAATGTCCAAAAACGTTAAAATCGCAATATTTCTAAAAATATCATTTTTAATATACATATATACTAAAAAATTAAAAAATCTATAAAAATTTATTATGATAGCAAGTTTAAGATGGTTTTAAACAATCAATTGAGCTACTTTTGGAGAAAAAATAAATACTAGAAGTGAACTTGCAGTTATTGAATTCAAGATATCTAATGCTACATTTATGGAATTTTTAAAAACTACTTAAAAAATGTTTTGTTATATTTTAAAACAAATGCCCGTTGCAATGGAGTATGCAAGTATTTATTAATCTTAATTTTATTATATATTTTAAAAGTATATATATAATACACTACACGCATACACGCACGTACATACATACATACATACATACATACATACATACATACATACATACATACATACATACATACATACATACATACATACATACACACATACATACATACATACTAATTAATTTTATTCATACTATCTTAAACACATCCATGATTTTATTTTGCTTTTATAAGTATTAGTGAATATTGACAAAATTTACACTAATATTTCCCGACGGGCATTTGTTTTTAAAAGTTACGTTCTAAATGTGTTTTAAACGTCTTTTAAACGTCTTTTAAACATTAATGTTTAAAAGACGTTTAAAAGACATTTAAAATACATTTAGATCGTAACTTTTAAAAACAAATGCCCGTCGGGTTATAAATTTTAATTTCGCCTGTGTTTTGAAGCTATATATGTGTTTAGAAATATATATTTTATAGAAATGTATAACTTTCATGAATACAGCGGACATGAAAGTTTTAATGAAGTATAATTTGCATAGAGAATAATATTTCCTATAGAAAAGAAATCTTTAGATTTATTTATTTGAAAAGTTCAAAAAACGTCTTTTGCAATCCAAATATCCGGTAGTAGGCCTTTATCCAGTTCAAACGTTTGTTACCTCTCTCTATAAGGTCTATGAGTAAATTAATTTACAAACTCTATTTATAAGTGATTGAGATCATGGAATTCAAGAAATGCATCTCATTTCCAGTGAAAAATTTGATCTTAAGATCAGTTCGAAATGGCATAAAACAGCACAGCTTTATGGAGTTACAGCTTTATGATAAGACTGCAACTGTTAGACAAATTTTGAAGAAATATGAGTTTACGAGGTCTACAAAGAATAAAAATCAATCAGGAAAGTCAGGCAAAATAACGCATTATCAGGATAAAAAGCCTGTGATACTAAGCAAAGAAAATCGCCATTTGGCTGCTGATGGTATAAACGTACAAATGAGACATTTCTATAAAATGAATTGTACTATTTCCACAATAAAACGTCGTTTACGTCACGCTAATTTATTTGAAAGACATCCAGCTAAAAAGCTATTAGTTTCCTTGAAAAATCGTAATGCTCGAAAAGAATTTGCACCAGAGCATCTAATGTGGAGTAGTTAGCAATGTTCAAAAATACTTTTTAGTGACGAAAGCAAGTTTATACTGTTCGGATCAGATGCAATCCGGTCTGTTTGTTGTTTACTAGGTACAAGAATTCCAGTCGGTACAAGATACGATCCTAAACACTAACTGCCTACCGTAAAACAAGGAGGAGGTATTTTAATGGTTTAGGAGTGTTTTAGCCAAGATGAAGTTGGTCCGCTCCATAGAATTACTGAGGCTATAAATCAAGAAAAGTAAAAAAATATATGAAAGACTATTATATAGCCTCATGCAAATGATAAAATGCCTCGAGAATGGATATACGAACAGGATAACGATCCCAAACATGCAACCAAACCGGTTTTAGAGTTTTTAAAAAGAATAAAGTTAAAGTTTTGAAATTGCCATCCCAATTGAACATCTATGGGAACATGTTGACCGTCAAAAAATAGAAATCAAGTCTACAAATCGTTTGTATTTATTTAGTTGACTCTTTGCCTCATAGATGCCAAGCCATTGTTGATTGTAAATGCGATCCTACAAAATGTGAATTTTTGTTTTTATATAAACTTTTGATCAAATATTGTTGAAAATTTGTACTATTTAAAAAAAAAAAGCTTTGTTTGCAAACTTTTGAACTTATCAAAAATCGTTCGTTTGTATATCAATTTTAAAATGTTAATTGGATAATCATTACTTGTTAAAAATATAATTGAAAACATGAAAACCTTTTGATTGGTATATTATATGTTGGCTTTGTGAAGTATGTATTGATATATTAGTAAAATTCTTTATTTTTTTGCCTGTCCGCAAAATTTTAGACGCTACTGTGTATGATTTTTAGAGGTGTGAATTTCCATTATTACAAGAAGTCAACTGCGCATTTGAATGCGCAATCTGTGATGTTGCAGTGGAAATCTCTTCAAGATTAGTCAAAAATTGAAAAAAGAAAAGTCAGTAAAAAGTATATTTTTCTTCATTTCTAATAAATTTTAAAACGTGATACATATTTTTTAATATTCCTTACATATAAGAAAAACAACTAACCGTCGTCATCTTTTTACATCTTTTTAGATAAGACATGCGTCTTTATTGAGAAAGTAATGTATAAAAGAAAACTGGTAAACACAGCGCTAAACGATATCAATATTAAAATTCCAAAATCTGCGGGCTTGAAGAAAACAATTGTAAGTATATATTGCATCAAATCCAATATAGAATTTAATGAAGATTGCACACCACCAACAGCTCCACGAAATTCTTCTTCAACATTTTCTTGCTGCAGCTGTGTAATTGTGAGATCTGATATCCATAGTCCTGACCGAGATAAAACTACCCCTAACATTAGTAACAGTATAGAAACATAACTATGATATATAATAATTGGTGAATGCGTTGTAACTGATTTATGATAACTCATGACATTGTTGTTTATAAATGTACTGTTTATATCAGTAATATTTCTTTTTAAATATTTTAAACTACTCGGACTCCCAGGAGCCCATATTGATGCCACGCAAATTATTAACATGCTGCATTGATAACCAAGTCCAATAATACCAGTTTTTACAAGACCAACTTTATTTCTTAAAAAAGGGAATACTATTGTTCCTAAAATTCCAAACAAAGCACCTGTTCCAAAGAAAATACTAACGTAAACTTCTTTCATTGACTGCGAGTACGCGTATCCAACGGTTATAGAGCTAAATCCAAGTACAGTGAGATATAATACTGCTAAAGCAATACCAGCTAAATATATACTTTGACTTTTGTATACTTTCCAACCAATAAAAGAAAGTTTTATTCTGTCAAAAATACCTAACCATGTTAAATTTATCTTGTGATCATTATCAATCTCTCCTATAGGTTCGTACTCATTTATATGTTTTTCTGTTAACTCTGGAGCAGTTTTGTAGATATGATGTAACTGAATATATTCTGAAAACATTGATAAAATGTTCCATCCACATATCAGAGCTATCCCGGAAAGGTCCGATATTAATGACATGAGTGATCCAACAGCAATTGGAGCAAGTATTGCTACTGACAAATCAATTCTTCGCATATGAGCATTTAGCTTGGCTAAAATATCGTTGTCGTTATGGCATATAACAACCACCCAGTCTCTTGTAATCGATATTTGTTCTCCTTGTGAGGCAAGGTTTGCCGCTGCTCCAAAAATAATTACCAAAACTTTAAAAAGCGTGAGAATGTTATTATTTGCTGTAACTCTAAATAAAATTAAACTTATAAACACAGCTGAACAAATTATCAGTCCGTTCTGTAACAACAATAGAGTTCGTATAACTACTAAGCGATTTTTTCGATCAATCCAATTTCCTATAATTGGTGCAAATAATATAACTGAACTAGTTACAACAGCACCATAAATTGCAGTAAGTTGAAGTGATCCGGGTGTAAGTTTAACTAAATACAATCCAACAGCAAAATTCCACATGTTATCTCCCCATGAAGAGAAAAAGAAGCTTGAGCATAGCCAGTATCCTGCCCACATTTACCAAAGTTGTTAGTTTCACAGCAATTGCAACCAAACTAAATAAAGAATATTTGTTTGATTACAACATGCAACATTTTGTTATACTTTTTAACTTTTTTCTTATATTAAGAACTTTAAAGGATTTAGCATGGATCCAGCGAACACAAAATGTTCAACAAACGTTGCAAACGTACTTGAACGTTTAATGAACGTTCATAGAACGTGCTCGAACGTTCGCAACGTTCGTCAAACGTACTTGAACGTTTTGTGTTAGCTGGGGAGTAATAACGTTTTTGTTAAATGCAAGTTTAAAGCTTTGATTACATTTTGTATAGATTATAGATAATGATTATTTAGGAATTTTTCTGCTTTTTTAGATAAAAATTAAGATTATGATTTATAATACTTTTTATCGTACTTTTTATCGTACTTTTTATCGTACTTTTTATCGTACTTTTTATCGTACTTTTTATCGTACTTTTTATCGTACTTTTTATCGTACTTTTTATCGTACTTTTTATCGTACTTTTTATCGTACTTTTTATCGTACTTTTTATCGTACTTTTTATCGTACTTTTTATCGTACTTTTTATCGTACTTTTTATCGTACTTTTTATCGTACTTTTTATCGTACTTTTTATCGTACTTTTTTATAATACTTTTATCTTAGGATCAGAAATATGTAATAACATTTTTATATTTGAAACTTTTAAGGATTGGAGTATTGTAGTTGAAATGAAAACAATAACAGAAACAATGACTATTGTTTCTGTTATTGTTTTAAAATTTATAGTATTATAAATTTTAAAAACAATATCTAAGTTTTACAACTATTGTAATATTGCAATACAATAACAACTAATATTGCAATTTATCCTAATAATATAATAACAATATCTGAAAAAAAAAGTTAGTATAATGTTATCCAATACTAAACAGTAAATATTGTGTTGAAACTTATCTTCATAATACATTATCTAAGAAAAAAGGTATTATTATGTTAAAAATTGAAAATGTGTTATTTGTTCAGTGCCATGTAACGTTGAAATAAGATGCAACTAATATTTTATGATTTATTATAGTAGTATTTGGTATACTGAATAAAATAATTTATTGTTGTTTTGCATATAAGTAAGGCTGCTATCAGATAAGTAATATTTTGCAGACATTTTGAGAACAATTTAAGATAGGCTAACCAATACCATATTTTTTGGGTGCGGTTGACTTACAAATAATTGCCCATCTAATATAAGAAAAAAACTATAAAACAACCAAAAAAAAGTAGCTTATGCAACGGTCAGCTTATGCAATGGTCAACTTATGCAACGGTCAACTTATGCAACGGTCAACTTATGCAATGGCTAACTTACGAAACGATTAACTTATGTGAAGAATGAAATTTATTTAAAAAACTTTGTTGCAATTTGCCTAACACTTTAAACTGTAATCAGAACATAAAATGTTTTGAAAAATATGACTGTTACCATTTCAGGTAATAAATATACTTTCATTTAAGTTTTACTGAAAGTTCAAATTAGAAGTTCAAATTACAGAGGAAAAACAGAATGGTTACAGAAAATTTATCATTAAACATCAAGTGATTACAAAAATTTCAAAGCTATCGATTACAAAAGTTTCACAGATAAAACATTAAAAAGACAAAGAAAAATTGACTTTCTTCAGATTCTTTACATTTTTCTTTCATTACTTCATTGATAATTATTGACTTTTATATTCAGCTAATAAAACATTTTTGTTTTTGATTATCAAGCACAAAGGTAACGTATCTATTCAGGTGTCTTGTTTACCTTTTTTGTTTCCAAAGTCTCAAGCAAACTATGTCAGACTGACACAATTAAAATTTGGAGCATATTACGCTGTAGCGAATTTTAAAATTGTAAGAAAAAAAGTTTTTAAATTTTCTACAGTGTGGTATACCATATTTTTAAATTTGAACTGTGTCAGGCTGACATGTTTACAGTATTCGATCTCATATCATTAGATTTGGATTTTGATTCGGATTTTGAGTTTGGCTATGAAAATATTTATGTGACAAAGAAAATAACTAGTACACTCATTGCCCAACTGTTTTTACCTGTCGGGTTCTAAGTGTGGCAGTTATTTTCTTTTAATAAAATAACATGAAAAAGCGTAGCATAAATAAATTTCTTGATAACTTGTAGATTATTTTTCGCTTCTTACCGTAACTTCATTTTTTTTTAGCACATATGTATTTCATAACTAAAATATAATAACCATTCTAAAATGATACATTGATAATATAGATATATAAAAAATAGATATCATTAACATATATCAAAAATACATATAAAATCTAAAACCATTCTACTTCCCTTCATGAATGTTGTAACAACTCCGTTCAATAAACTGTATCATCAATGTTGTCAAGTTTTATGAGTTAAATCTCTAGTATCAACAATGTCATTGATATTAACTTTTATTTATTTTTTACTGCCTCAAACATTGTTAGTTTAGTAACTATAGCAATAACAGTGATATATTACTGTGTTTTTACTCATAGGGTTTAAGAGGTTCATTAATGCGGAAAGTATTTTAAGTCTAGCATAACTAGCCCATCGTTTAAAAAATGAACAGTGAAATTAGATCTTATGATAAACGTAAAGCAAAAAGAAAACGAGGTGTAGATATGTATAAGCGTAATGCATTAGAATATCAAGAGTAAAAGGTTAAAAATAAACAAATATAGAGATGACATTGTTTCTGCTAAATTTATCCATGATGAACTATTGTGCATCTTTTCCCAAAAATGTGGTTTTTATATTGGTAATGAAATAAATAATGCAACCTAGAACAGTTTTTCTTTGTAGGAAACTCAAAGTCAACAAGATATACATTTACAAACATTAATAGAAGGCAGACATGCGTTAAAAAAATGAAAAAATATAAGATATTACTACTTCATGCAAAAAGTAAAACAATTATGTACAATGTCAAAACATTTATATAAAACGTCAAAACTAATGGTATGTTTTGTCCAGTTTTCAGAAATTAGTATTTTTACAAATACATGGTAATTCTCGATATCACCTTTTAAGTTTAAGCAACCAATTGAAAATGCAATACATGCGCGCTGATCTCTGAACACATTTCAACATTTGAAGTAAGGGAAATTCATTATGGTGTATGATAAAGAAATAGTTTAATACAGATTAGTTATTTCCAGAGATGAAGTCAAGACCACAGTAAAGGCCAAGACCATGACTAAGACTAAAGAAATTTGGGTTCAAGACCAAGACCAAGACTGAATGCTTCAAGACCAAGACCAAGATATAAAAAAATTAACCCAAGACCAAGATCAAGACTTTGAAACATTACAAACAGTATGTAATGTTTCCAATAAGAAAATATTAGAAAAGGAATGAAAAATTTTTATTTTAAAGTTTTAAATATTGCCGCGGCATAAGATAAATGTGTGCTAACTTAGAACATATGACAATGACCCACTATATTTTAATAAAAACTAAATATTTAGAGGCTCTCAATGATACAAAGTCTCGATGACACAAACTCTCTATATTTTTGTTAAACTAGACCTAAAATTACCCAAAATAAATTTTGATCTGCATTTGATGAAAATCCCCATAACCTCTTTGATGGTTGAACAAAAACTAAAGTAAAAATATTTAACATTAAAAATTCTTTTATAATTTTTTTTGGCATAGCCTTAAAAAATTTAGTTCTATAGTTATATTTTTAAATGTAAGCAATGAATAAACTATATACAATATATACACTTGAAAAATGGATAAAAATGGATATTATGTTAACTTAAAAATCAAACAAATACAAATGAAAGTTATGTCAACTTAAAAGTCAAGCAATAAATTTTGAAATTTTTTAATAACTTTATCGGTGGAAATCAAAACGAATGTGTAAACTTCACTGCCGATATTATAACAAATAAAAGAAATACATGATTTAAAATATCTTAAACCAAAGTATGAAAAATTAAGACACTGGTTGAGAAGCTTTAATTAGCTTTTATTTAAAATAAATGCAATAAATGATTTTGTTTGTAGCTAGGCTGATGAAATTGTGCTATAATACAAACCATGGGCGGATGCAGCAATTATGCTACGGAGCAAAACCAGGGGGGAATACAGCAATTGTGCTATGGTAAAAAAGTTGAAATTTTTAAATATAAATTGCTTGAAAAGTTTAACAATTTTATTTATAGTTTTGAAATATCACATTTTGTGATTTTAAAATACTAATTAAAAAACATTTTCAAACTTTATTTTTTTTTGTTTATATACTTTGCTTGAATTTTGAATTGAACAGTATGAAATTCAAAGGTTTGAATTTTACATTCAACAAGAACGCTTCTCATTACATTCGAATATGCTTTTTTCCTCGAATATTAGTACTTTGGAATTCACTCCCTTTATCTTATTTTCCTAATTCATATAATTTGCAATCTTTCAAGTCGTCTATTAATCTTTATCTGTTTTATAAATTTTATATTTTTTCTTCCAGTAACTTCCAACTCTTGCTGCTTGTAGCCTTGTCGGTGTTTGATCAAAAAAAAGCGTCTTTTTTCGATCAAATACTGACCAGTGCATTAAATTCATGATATCTAATCAAATATTTGTACCAATATTAAACTTTATTAATGTTGTTTTTACTGTTTTAAACACATTTCTAAAGTAAACATTTCTCTCAATATTATACCAAAAAATAAGTTTAAAATAATGGCTTTTAGATTTTCGACTGCAATTCTAGGTGTGGATTAATCTATTAGAATCATTTTATTTCATTACCAACTTATAATGTTACTCAAATCCTGAAAAAAAAATTATTATGAAAGATTTACACTTGATGTTATTTAAAAAGATTTCAAAAAAATTTATTTTACAAGTTGGAGAGAGTAGGGAGAAGTGGGACATTAAAAAATATTTCTAGAATAATTTATATCTTCTATATAATTTATTCCTTATATTATTTATATATGTATGCACTGAACCAAACAAGTTTTA